CATGTCCCTATTACTATCCTGTTGTGGTGTGGCCATGTGTGTTCACAAAAGATCTATGTCTCATTGTCATCCTTCTGGTGGCAGAAACACTCCTGCCTACTCATGATCCATGTACCAGCATCATTCTGTGGTGGCATGGGCATGCCTGATCATGTGTGCTGTGTTCCAGTCCTACCCTTCAGAGGATGGGTCACACGTTTATACATGTGCCCTGTCCTAAACACTATCCCAAATGTAAGCACAAATGTTCATACAGGAGCCATGTCCCAGCACCATTCCATGACAACATGAGCTTGATTCTTCACATGCATGCAATGTCCCAATGTTTTCTCATAATAACATGAGCATGTGTGTTCACAGTACATATACCATGCCCCAGTGCCATCTTGTGGTGACATGAGCATGCCTGTTCATACACAAAACAGAACCCAGTGCTGTCTTATTATCATAGGCACTTACATAAAAATTGTGTTCCTGCATAGACCATGATAGCATGGGCACACATGTTTACATGTGTGTTGTGTCACAGTTCACATGTGATAGCATGGGTGCACATGTTCATACATGAGTCATGTCCCGGCATAATACTGTGGAAGTGTCAGCATACTCACACCTGAGCATAGTTCCCTGACATCATGGGCACATGATGTCAGTGCCATGTTTCAGAACCATCTTGTAGAATATGGCCACATATATTCACACATAGAGCTGTTGAAACAGCTTGCATTTTGTACCCACCTCATTACTAGCCTATTTACATGCCTATTTACACACAAATTGTGTCTCAACCCTAGTCAGTGGCAGCATGGACATGCCTGTACACATGAAAGCCATTTCTCAGCACCATTCTTTGGTGGCATGTGCATATGGCTACAAAATGCAAAATATGACAGCTCTGTGTAAAATTTGGCAAAAATGTTCACATGCTAGCTGTGTCCCAGCGTCACCCTGTGGAACATACAACTGGTATCCCAGGGACAGACCATTGTAGTATCGGCACATGTTCACATTTGAGCTGTGTCCCAACCCCATCCTATGGTGGTGTGAAGACACATAGTCACACATGAGCCATGTCCCAGCACCATACTTCAACAGCATAAGCATGGCTATTCACAGGCAAAGCATGTTCCTCTATGTCAGAGTGGGCACACATGTTTACATGGGTGTTGTGTCCCAGGTCCATCCTGAGGGAGCATGTGAACATGTGTTCTCATGCAGGCCGTGTCCCAGTACCATCTCTTGTCAGAGTGGGTATACTTGTTTATACACAAACTGAATCCCAGTGCTGTCCCCTTGTAGCTTAGGCACTTGTAATTCAACTTGATTTGTGTTCCTGTGCCATCCCATGGAGACATAAGCACGTCTGTTTACATGCAATTTCTGTTCCAGTGTTATTCCAAAACAAAAATTAACTTCTGTTACTAGCATGGTCTTAAACACCCAGCAGGAAAATAAAACCAAGATTAAAGTGATCAGTATGTTTCGTTTTACAGTTCAAGGGACAGCAAAATTTAGACATCATACTTAACCAAGTACAATGTTATTTGGATAATTATTTCTCATTAATGACTCTCTTCCTGAGCATAATATATATCCCAGACACAGAACAAGATATTGGTTTGCTTCAGTACTACAGCTAAGAAAAACAGATCTCACTAGCAATGAAAGGCATCCAGTTCTGTACTTATCCAACCAACAGGTTGGTCTGCTCACTAAGGTCCAGCACTCCTAGGATTCCCTGTCCCCTTCTCAATAGGGATCCACATTACTTTCAAGTACCATCTTTTCATAGCAACAGACTCCTTCTCATGCTTATACCCATAACAGACCTCCCAGCTTTCTTCAGCCTAATCCTGAATAATGAGCCTCCAACCTTTCAACTCTCCTGGATCTTTTACTTTCTGACCTGACTCACCCTTTCTAAATATCCACAGCTCTCCCACACCTCTATATGGAAGCTCCTATCTATGAACACCCACCTCTTCTCACTGGCTCCTCTATGTTGCTCCCCCACTTCTACTCCTCCCCACCCCCTACTCCATTTTCCTGGGCAAATTCTCAGTTTCACTCTATAACCAAATCATACATTTTCAGCCTTCTAATGATTATGTTTCAGAGTGTTCTCTAGAAGTGCATGCAGGCAATTGCATGATTCACCACAGCTGATCAAGTTAAAACTCTCCTCTGGCTATTAAGGCCTGCTCCAGCTATTGAGGCCATTTTGGTTTCAGGCCCACCAGCCACATTCATCCCAGCTCATTGCTGATGTAAAAGAATCTCTGTACAAAGTCAGGTTGCCCCTAAACTATGTTTATGTTCAATGAGAAACTCTATGGCCTTCTTGTTCTTAGAAATTCCCCAACCACACAGCTATCCCCAGCTGCCAAGCATACTTTCAAGGTAAGCTAGAACTGTCTGTCTAGTTAGCAAACATAACTTGAGTCAGAGCTGACAACCCTGTCCCACCATCCACACACACTCCCCCCCCCCCATATGAGCTGATTGCAGGGTTTGCCTTTATAAGCTAACTCTGAAAAACACTCATTGTCACAGTTTTGGCCCTAATTTATTCTGTGTCCCTGATGATGATCAGTCTTGGGGTATGCAGTTCAATAAAACATCTATATCTGACTGAGACTGGTGCCTGAGTGGTTTATGCAGCTTCCTCTGGACCCCAACACTGCTATGTAAAGTCAATCTGAAGTATGACCCTTAGATACTGGGGACAGAGCCTAGCCCTCACCCCACCATTCCTTTCCCATCGTTCCCCTTTTGAAGGAAGTAGCCAGTGAGATATTACATCACTTCTCTTCTCTTCTTTTTATCTGTCCTCATGGTGTAGAATCATAATATTCTTGTGATGAACTGCTCTTTTAACCATTATGAACTGTCCCTTTTTTTAACTAGTTTTTTTAAAATATTCTGTCAGATATTAAAACAGCCACATCTGCCTGTTTCCTAGATCCATTTGCTTGGAATATTTTTCCCAGCCCTTTTACCCTAAGGCAGTATGATGGTTGTCAACATCTGGAATTAACTAAACCTAAGTGGCTGGGTATTCCTTTGAGGGGTTTTTCTTGATTAAATCATGTAAAGTGGAAAGAGACATCCTAAATGTAGGCTACACCTTCTGGTAGCAGCCTGTAGGAAGAACATAGAAGGAAGTTCTTGCAAACCCGCTTACCCTCACTCTTGCTCTCAAGCCCATTCCTTCACTGTCATTAGAGCCTACTTCAGGACTCCATATTACTGAAGACCAGCAAAGACATCCAGACGAATGGACTGAATGAATAACTTATTTTCTTATGGCCTTCTCCCTCTCCTGTAAATCCTCCTTTCATTTACTAATTAGATCCCTTCTACTTTCATGACTTTGTGACCCAGTCAGTGTAATTTGGGCTTACAGGAGTGTGTGCATCTTAACACTGGAGAAAATGCTTTCCTCTTGACCATCAATAGCTATCTGCATAGAAATGTTCAGAAGGATCACTACTGTAAGTTCAAGACAATTTGGGTTTCATAGCAACCATGTTAATAGGCCATCTTCACCTAGGTGCTATTTCATTCTATAAGCATGTGGATATCAGCTTGTATTTAAATGTCATACTGTATATGATTCAAAAATAGTAAATTTTATTGTGCTTAAAATTACATTTTTTCACCCCGAGAATTGTATGAAAAATTAATTCTGACATTTAGAAATTTTTCTGGCACTTCTCTGCTTTTTCCTAGTTGATCACCAAGTCTTGCAGCTTCTTTATATGTTAGAAGTGTGGACCTGTGTTTTGCTTTTCATCCTCCCTTTTGTAGTTTGATCCTTATTGTTTCTGGTAAGTTCACTAAAACAGTTCTTTTTTTAGATAGGTTGTTGGCTCTTTAGTACTCATGATCCTCTTGCCTTAACCTCCTAAGTCAGTGGTTCTTAACCTGTTGTGACCCCTTTGAAGGTGGAATGACCCCTTTTGCATGGGTCACATATCAGATATCGTGCATATCAGATGCTACATTATGATTCATAACAGTAGCAAAATCACAGTCATGAAGTAGCGACAAAAATAATTGTATGACTACAGCTCACAACATGCCTGCCCTCAACACAAAGATCATTTTTTTTGGTACCCTAGTAGGGACTGCATTCACAGAAGGGCGATGGGGTGCTGACAGAAATAATGTTTTCCCCAGAGTATGGGCAGAAGGTGGTCACGGAAGGGTGTGTTTTCTGTTTAATAGAAAACACTGTTTATGGGCTTGATTCCAGCATTGTGGAGTGCTTTCTTGTATTCTCAGGCAGGTGAGCAGTAACTACTAGCCCTTTCCCAACTATGGCCTTGGGGAGACCAGGCCAAAGAGCAACAGGCTGTATGAATGCTCAACAACATCAAAACTATGGTGGAGGCTTGGGCCCACTCAGAGCACGTTTGGTCATTTCTACACTGAGGAAGCATTCTAACAAAGTGAAAAAGCTTAGAAATAAATAGTCCCAAGTTGGGCATGGCAAGTGTGGAATGTACATGGAGTTCAGTCCCAGCACTAAAGAGGCAGAGGCCAGAGGATTCTAGGCCAGCATGGGTTTTATAGTGAACACCTATATCAAATAAAATTTAAAAAAGGAAGGAAGGAAGAAAGGAAAGGAGGGAGGGAGGGAGGGAAGGAGGGAGGGGCAGTATCCACAAAATCCCTAAAACTGGGTTGTGAAGGTGGGAGGGATTTGGGGGTCAGAGTAAACACATGTTACTGAGGTCTCTACAACATGTATGATCCAGAGAGTGACAGTCCATCCATTCCTGAGCTTCAGCTCACTAGGTGACTGTATTGGCACCCTGCCTACCACTGGTCTTGTAGGGTACTTTTTACATTTTGGAAAGCATGCAGACTTGTTTATTAAAAGGCTCATCAATATACATATATTCTTAGATCCAAATAAGATCCAAAAAGGTAAAAACCACTGTTATGTACCCTAGTTAGTTTGGCTGTAGCAAATCCAGGACTGCACACAGAACTTGCACTAAATCTCTGCTTTAATAATATCAAAAAGCAGCAGATAGAGATACCCAGCTCCTCAGAAAGGTTTAAGGAAGTGCAGAGGTGACCTCAGAAAGGTTTAAGGAAGTGCAGAGGTGAACAGCATCTGCTGTGAGGACTGTGTGCAAGGTGCAGTCTCTGTTCTAGGCTATGGGCTGCTTTAGGAGTTTTTCCCAGGTCCTCCCACCTTGGGCAGCCTAGTAGCACTGGGCTGGCGTGGCATCCTCTGGATGGGTCTTTCACGGCTTCCACGTTCTGCCACTATGGGAACACTGCCAAGAGTGGGGCCACCTCTGTTTCTTCCTGTAAAGATATAGAAACCAATAATTAGGATGGGAACAAACTCTAGATCCAGCATATTCACCATTTTTGTTTCCTGGGAAACGTGTCTATCTATCTTCTGTATCCAACCTGTTCCAGCTGCAAATATGTTTTTGGTAATCTTGGTTGACAACTTGACGACATATGAGATCTCAAAAAACTTAACATGCTGGCACATAGATAAGGGCTGGCTCTAGAGAAACAGAATTTTAAGGATGAATATATAAAATAGAATTATAAATATATATATATATAATATGACTGTTACATATATAATTATATATATATATTTTTATATATATATAATTTACTTTATATATATATATATAAAGTAAATTTTAAGAAAAAATTTTCGTAACTAGCTTTTTTAATGTGGGAACAGCAACACTAAATCTAGGTTACATCTTCTGGTGGCAGCCCACATGAAAGGACAGGGAAGAAAGAAACTTTAGTTTTTATCTGCTTGTTTTCATTCTCCTTAGTTCATCTATCCTGTTGCCGAGACATTTGCTAAAGTTAAAATCTACTTCTTTGGGATTCCAACATAAAGTGAATACCAGGATCTCTGTAGGAATCCTTGGGAACTCCAGTCCAGACTGGAAATACAGATATATTCAATCTTGGAAACTGAACAACTACTTGATTGTTGGACTGTATCACTGATTTCAGCCTGTAAGCCACTCTCATGAATCCCTTTTAAATATATTTTATATATAGTAAAATGTAGTATTTAAATATATATTTTCATTCCATCATTTTCATTTTTTTTAAAGAACCCTGACTAATAAAGACTGTGGTACCAGGAGTGGATCTACAGAAATAGAATTTTAAGGATGAATATATAAAATAGAATTATAAATATATGCATATCTATAAATTATATATATGAATGTTATATAGAACATACAATTTTATATATGTATAAAATCAATTTTAAGAAAAAATCCTGAAACAGGTTTTTCAATTCACTAATAGCTGCAGTTTTTAAAGGAGAACACTAAAAATCTATGGTGTGGACTATTTAAACAATTTATCAAGATAAATGCATCAGATTATCCTGAGTCACCTACTGAAAGAAACAAGTATAACTGAACACTAAATTGTAGTGACAATTTGTAGAAAAAATAAAGAAAATAATGATGCTGGCTTGCTGCCTCTAGTATCTCTGGTTACATTGATAAAGTCAACTTAGTTGTCCCTGGAAGCAAATCCTCTTTTTAACAGCCATAGAGATTAAGCTGTAGAAAATCAAACTGAAGCCCTCATTATAAGACTGGCTAAGTAAAAAAAAAAAAAAAAAAAAAAAAAAGTCAGTTTCAGTCTCAGAGGGTATTGGCAGTTAATGGGCACTTATTGCTAAAGAATGGGAACCTGTGACATGGTGTGCAGATGTGTGGGAAGAGCCTACTGAGGCTGAGGACTATGAACCCTCACATTCTGAATGGCTTATCCATCTGAGTAAGTAGTCTCTCCATCCTTAGCAGAGGATGCATCCCTACCCCAACCCCTCCAGTACTTCCTTTAGCATCTTTGTCTAGGAAAACTCAAAGAATCAGGCCTTCCTGAAGGAGATACCAGATATATGAGTTCAATGTCAACCTTTTCTCAAAAGACTAACAAATACTTCCTCCTAGTACCACTTCATGGTATAAACCAGAGTGCCCTCAGTTCTTCTTGGAAGTCCAGAAGGCCTTTCCTTCTAGGTCATCTCTAGCCCATGTGACTCCCCAGTCCTGATGAACCTCTCTCTGCCAGGGACCCAAAGCTGCCACACTAGGCTTATCTCCATCTTCCTTCCTGTCCTCCACTCAGGTCTCTCCAGACTTACTCTTAATCTGGCTGTAGCTTGTCCACAGGAGTGCCTCCTTCCAACCTGACCCATCCCCTACAGACTCCACCTTTGGTTGAACACAGGGTTCCCCTCACTTTACCCCACCACCCTCTCAACCTTTCCTTTCAGCCTATCTCCAATTCCTTTGTGATTCGCCATTGGCCTGCAAAACAGCTTTCTATTAGGGACCCCTTAGCCAACTTAACTCCTTAAACTTGGTTGGGACCCAGAACCACTTTCTGCCAGAGACCCCAAAAGCCACCACAGTTGGCGGGGATTCCACACCTGGCTAGGACTACATTGGACAACAGCAACCAAAGAATGGAAAACTCAACCAATAAAGACAAGATCAGCTATATATACCCAAAAGCACCTCAAATATTGAAATTCCAGATGCCTATGTCCCACTTCACAAAATAACCACAAAAAAGAACATCCAAGACATTATGTCTCCTTCAGAAACCAGCAACCTAATTGCGCTAGGCTCTGGGAAAAGCAACTTAGCATAAGACAAGAATTTAAAAATAACAATTGTGAATATATTCAAAGACCCTAAAGAGGACATGAATAAAGGCTTAATAAAGACCTTGAAAAGCTGGGTAGTGGGGCACACCTTTAATCCCAGGAGGCAGTGGCAGGCAGAGTTCTGAGTTCAAGGCCAGCCTGGTCTGTAGAGTGAGTTTAAGGACAGCTAAGGCTACATACAGAAAACCTGTCTCAAAAAAAAAAAATATAGATAGATAGATAGATAGATAGATAGATAGATAGATAGATAGATAGAATTTGACACAGAAACAGAAGCACTAAAGGAAACCCAAACTGAAATAAAACTGGAAAGGAAAAACTCACGATGTCAAACAAAAACCTCAGAGGCAGGCCTCACCAAGAGTTTTAAAAAATGGAAGAGAGAATATCAGGTCTTGAAGACAATGGAGAGCTCAGTAAAAGAAAATGTTAAAAAAAAAAATCAGGCTCAAAACATCCAAAAAACCTGGGATACTGAAAAGATCAAACCTAAAAAAAATAAGTATAAAGAATGAAGAAATCCATGTCATGGTCACAGAAAATATTTTAAACAAAATCATGAAAGAAAATTTTCCCAGTCTGAAGAAGGAGGTGCCCATCGAGGAACATGCACAACACCAAAGAAAAAGAATTGGAAAAGAAATTCCCCATAATACATAATAATAATAATTATTATTAAATAATTAAACAATATTATTAAATAATAATAATTAAAACACTAAAAGTACAGAACAAAGAAAGTATATTAAAAGCTACAAGAGAAAAAAGGCCCAGTCAAATAAAGGTAGGCTTATTAGACTAACACCTGACTTTTTAAGGGATAATCGGAAAGCCAGAAGGGCCTAGATGGATGTCCTATAAACTCTTTAAGGCCATAGACAACAGTCCAGACTACTATACCCAGCAAAACTATCAATCAAAATTGACAGAAAAAAATTTCACATTAAAAACAAACTTAAATAATGTCAATCAAGCTTGACAAAATATACCAGAAGGGCGGGGTAGCATCCTGAAGAGAAACTTAGCTATACCCAAGACGACATAAGGAATAATATAATCCAGAAACAGCTGAAAGGAAAGGAAAAACTAAAACCCATAAAATAACAAAAAATAATGGAAAGTAATAAGAACTTTTTACTAATAACTCTCAATATTAATGGTCTCAATTCCCTCAATAAAAAACACAAAGACTAACAGATTGGATTAGAAAACAGGGTCTATCTTTCTGCTGCACCCATGAAACATACTTCACTATCAAGGACAAATATCACCATGCCAGGATGGAAATGGTATTCCAAGCAAATGGACTCAAGCAAGCAGGTATAGCTATTTTTAATAGCTAACAAAACAGACTTCAAACCAAAACTAATTAGAAGAGACAAGGTAGGAAATTACTTCATGTCATGTATGTATGTTTGTGTTAATGCACATGAACATGTGTGTCAGATACCTGTACTCCTCCCAGTATTTGTGACACAGGTGTATTGAACAGATCAGGGAATGTAGCTTAGTGGCATGATCCATGCCTAGTACATAGAAAATTAACATACCAGGGTTTGGGGGAGAACATAGTACAAAAGTCCTAAGTCCACTCCCCAGCACAGAAAAAAAATAAATAAATAAAAGAAAGGAAGGAATTAAGAAGCAAGCATGCACTTCTTCTTTGGGAAAACGCCAAGTGGCAGATGGTACAATAGGAGGTGCCAGAGGACCCGGAGGCCCAGGATTAGGAGGATGCTGTGGCTTCCTTGGAGGATTTGGCAGCAATTTTAGGGACTATAGTCATGCAAAGGCCCAGGGTCTTGTGGGGGTAAAGCCAAAGACAAGGAGTAGATCTCCATCACCAAACTGGGCTGCCTAGTTAAGGACATGAAGATCAAGTCCTTGAAGATCTACTTATTCTCCTTGCCCACTAAGGAATCCAAGATCACTGACTTTTCCCTGGGCCCATCCCTAAAGGATGAGGATATAAAGATCATGCCAGTGTGGAAGTAGACACAGGATGGCCAGTGGACCAGGTTCAAGGCTTTTGTCCCTATTGGGTACTACAATGGTCATGTTGGTCTTGGTGTTAAGTGCTACAGGGAGATAGTCACTGCCATGTGAGAAGCCATGATCTTTTTGTTTATTATTATTATTATTATTATTATTATTATTATTTATAATTTATTCACTTTGTATCCTGGCTGTAGCCCCCTTCCTCTTCTCCTCCCAGTCCCACCCACTCTCCCTCTTCCCCCCACTATGTCCCTCCCCTAGTCCACTGATAGGGGAGGTCCTCCTCCCCTACTGTCTGACCTAGCCTATCAGGTCTCATCAGGACCATCTGGATCCTCTCTCTGTGGCCTAATAAGTCCACCTACCAGAGGGAGTTGAACAAAAAGCAGACAATCAAGTTCATGCCAGTGACTGCCCCTGCTCTCCTTACTAGGGAATCCCCATGGAGACTTAGCTGCCAATGGGTTACGTCTGAGAAGAGGGTCTAGGTCCTCTCTGTGCCTGGTTCTTGGTTGATTCATCAGTCTCTGTAGGCCCTTCTGGGCCCAGATTTATTGGCTCTGTTAGTTTCCTTGTGGAGCTCCTATCTCTTCTTGGCCAACCTTTCCATCATCCCTGTGCAGAGAAGCTACTGAGGGAACAAGATTGACAAGTCCCACACTATTCGATGCAGGTTGACAGGCTGCTGTGGCCCTGTTTTGGTGCATCTCATACCTGCCCCCAGAGGTACTGGCACAGACTCTGCTCCTGTGCCCAAGAAGCTACTGATGGTGGTTGGTATTGATGACTGCTACACATCAATCAACCAGGGGCTGGACTGCCACCCTGGGCAACTTTGCCAAGGCCACCTTTGATGTTATCTCTAAGACCTACAGCTACCTGACCCCCAACCTCTGGAAAGAGACAGTGTTCACCAAGTCTCCTTGTTATGAATTCACTGATCATTTTGTGAAAACCCACACCAGAGTCTGTGTCCAGAGGACCCAGGCTCCAGCTGTGACTACCACATAAGGGGCTTTTTGTACAAGAAAAATAAAGTGAATTAAGTAGAGAGAAGAAAGAGGAGGAAGAAGAGGAAGAAAAGAAGAAAGCATGCATAATGGCACACACTTTATAAGAGGTACTTGGGCATTTGTAGATTTTGATGTTTCTGGGGGAAGGGTGGTCTTAGAACGAATCTCTGCAGCTATCAAGGAACAACTGTATTAATATCTCAATATATTTCTATATATGTTCATAAGCTGTTATATTACTTTTCATACCAGTCCTTCAATATCCAGCCTTGACAACAGCAGCCCTATTATAGCTCAAGGCACTTGCTGGACAGTCTACCTTATGTGAGATTTCTGTCTTCTATACACCAAATTTCACCTTGTACTTTCTGGAGGGACAGCTTTTCAAACTGTGTAGTTTCCCTAAACATAAATAGGGAGCACTGAACTGAGCCTACTTTCCTTGGCATGGCAGAAGGCCACTGTGGCTAGCTGGCCAGCTTCTGCAGATGTTTCTCATATCTCTGCTAGACATGAGAGATTCCATGTCTAACTGGAAAGCTGGGGTGCAGCTATCCAGATGATCCTGTTGTACCTGTAGTATTTTATAGACTCTAGGGGCTAAACAGCACTCTAACATGGCCTGGAGCAATACCAATCTAGTTCCTCCAAGAAAGCTATGGTAGGTGTCAGTGGGCATACACTTTGTCATACAGGCCATCACATCCCTCCAGCTGGATCACAATGACCTCTCCTGTTACTTTCTCCACCCCAGACTTGGTTACTGATAGGGTGGCTAAAAGGTCTGTGTGTATGGATGACACACAGATGACACACAGAAGTCAGAGATCCCTCTTTGCCTCACCTGGTAGCCTATGAGCTGTAGTCCATTTAAGGTTCAGCTCCACCTCTTTCCTCACTCCCCTTCACATCTTTGAGAGCAGCCACTTTCCCAATGCTTCTTGTTGACACCATGTCCCTCAGGGCTAGGACTAAACCCTCCTCCTCAGAAATTCCTCGCTTCATCCTGTATTCCATCCCCAATCCTTCTCCTCAGGGTTACCAACTTAAATGTGGCATTTAGGACAAAGCTGAGCAACATGGAGGAGGTTATGGAAGAAGGGACAAATAGATAATTCCTGGGAGCTCACATATCCTGATTATGAATTTCTGACCTCCTACCTAGAAATACCTGAAGGATACTCAAATCACAAATGAAGCATGAGAGAAACTCAGTTTTAAGTAGGTGTATGTGACTAGCAAATGTCACTCTATGGAGTTGCCAAGAAGGCTGGGGTGAGAGATCTGTTCCCTATGTCATACTTTACATTCACCTGAGGGATAATGCTAAAGTGAGTGAGGCCAAGTTCCCAACAGCTTACCATGATGCCTCATCTTTGCCCCTGTCTTACATTCTCTGCCTGGGTTAGTGATCTTAAAACTGGGCACATGTGGGTGTTATCCTGGAGCACCAGCCCAATTGTATATTCTAAAAATACTGTGTCTTTGGTAAACCAGAAAATGTGTCTTGTTTCTGAGTTGCATAGCTGGGATGGCCTACAGTGCCCTGATCTTGTAGCTCAAAGTTGCCCTGGCCTTGTGGGGACAATGGTAGTTTCCAGTGGAAGAGTACACATCAACATCAAACCCATAGATAGATAATACAAATGCCTGTGAAAGAAGAAGACACACAGCAAGAGAACCAGAGTAAGGCATGGGGGCAGAGGCAGGTGCATGACAGCTGGGTCACAGAGCAGACCTGGAGAGGCTGCAGGCCTAAGGGAAAGAATGGCCTTGCTTCTGTTCACAGCAGAGAAAGGAGGGCCATAGAGGCCACAGAGATGCAAATTGAGCAGAGAGAGGATAGATCAGTGAGTATGCGTGGCCTGACTACCAGACTGGCACTTTACCCTACTTGGATGCCTTCCAGGTTGTTCCTGGGCTTCCAGGCAGTGAACCAGCACTGCCTCTCCATCCCCTTGCCTGCAAGGACACTCTGTATTTCAGAGGGTCCCATCAGCCAAAGAGAACAAAGGCAACAGATAGGATGGATAGGTTCAAGGCCTGAGATCCCTTATTCTGCTTACCACCATCCTCTTAACCCAGTTCCAGTCATGACCACAGAGCGGGGGAGCCCTTCACACCTGAGCACTGGGCTACTATTCTAACAGACCACTACTCTATGTTCCAAGGCAATCAGATGCCTCCAGTCTTGAAACTGAAAACATTACCAGATGGGAGGTGTGCAGGCCTTGCCTTAGATGAAGGAGAGCTAGACCTGCGACTGGGAAGCGTAGGTAATGAGTTGCCTGCCTTGTTCTCTGAGTACTCCCCTGAACCTGTGATTGTCAGATAGATGGAGAGCAAAGCCATATTTATTCCAATACTTGTGGATAGAAGGCATGATGAAGAAGTGGGAAGGAGTCAGAGAGACCCTATCCTGCTTGGACCTTGATCCAGCAGTACAGTCCTAACGGTGGAGCCAACTAAAGTCCCCAGAAGGTGGATGGGTCTGCAGACAAACTGAGCCATTCTGAACCAAGCCAACCTTGGGTTCTCAGACCCTCCTCCCATTACTGCCACCGTTGGCTGTAAGTAGCCAGCCCACCTCTAACCTCGGGTCTCTGATGTTGACAGAGATATGGACACAGAATCCTGGGGATCACTTGCTATCCTCTGCCCAGCACACATGGATTTCAGCATCTGGAAGACGGCGAGGGGAGCCACGTTCAGATTCAGCAAGTCCAACAGGATCCTGGGGGAACAAATGCGGTGCTTAGAGAACCCTGCAAGCTGCAGGACAGACCTGCTTCAGGAGTTGGGAGAACTGGGCAATAGCCCTGAAAACCCACACGGAAAACTGGAATTTTTTTCAGAGTAACAGATGAAGGTCAAAGGGATCCCAAAGCAGGCATTTGGAAGTCCCGACCCTCGCCTTCTCACTTGAACACATCGGGGTCGATGGCGGCGCCCGCAGCCTGCGCAAGCTCATACAGCTCCATCTCCTCGGTGCCGAGCACCTTCTTCCGCAGAAGAGCCAGCTTCTGCAATGTCGCTGCCTCCAGTCCGGTGGGTGCCGCGATTCCAGCACTACCACCCACTGCCGCCATCCGTGAAGCCTGGAAAAAGTGAGTGTTTGGCCCTGCTACTGACCACCCGTTTCCATGCAGGGTCCTCCAACCTCCAACACAGTGAGCAAGGGTCCCAAGAGGCCTTTACATAGTCGACTGCAAGATTGTTCTGAGCGCCTCTGTCCGCTACCTGCCGATCAGGACCCCGATTGACCGCTGGCTTAGGTAGCAGCACCTAGAATAGTGTTCAGAATATACTGGGTACTTAGTAAATTCTTTTTGGATGGTGGGTTTAATTACCTGTTCTGCTGAGGGTCCCTAAAGAGCTTTCGTTTTCATGCTCACACGCACTTCTTCCCGCTGGTGGGCATAAAAATTAAGCTCAAAGGGTCGCCGAGCCGTCATTGCGCATGCGCCTTTGTGGCTAACCGCCCCTGCCCTTTGCTTTGCGCAGGCGCCTTTCCCGAGAGGTAGTGACGCTTTTCCCCCTAGGCAGGGGGCGTGGCTTGATGACAAAGCTCTACGACAGTACTTCCGCGTTGCGTTAGGCGGCTGGTTTCTGAAGATACCCATCTCGGCAAGAGATGAACTCAACACATCAGCTTGGCCTGTATGATGAGTATGCCAAATGCTTGACCAGCCATCATGAGTCAAGTGTCACTGCCACCTGGGAAGACTGGATCTGAGGAGCCAGTCCAGGAGTACCCACGCAGAGGGAAAGAGAACCAGGAGATTCATTTAAGATTTGTGCAGTGGCACTCTAGGGGATATTTTGTCTCATGATACTTTGGACATTTTTTTTAACCTGACTGCTCTTTTCCTTATATATGGTTTCTAAATATGTGTTTTCATGGGGATTGTGTGTGTGTCTCTACATGTGTATGTTTCTCCTGGCTTTATGTTGTTTTCTTTTTCATTTTGTTTTGTTTCATTTTGTTTTCTTTTTCTTTTTCTTTTTTTAAATGTGCCTATTTGTTTGCTAGAGTGTTGGTATAATCTTTTTTTGGAATGTATACAATTTACCCTTGTTCATTCAAATGCTGATTTCTCTCCCCCACTATCTGGTTTCAATCCGGACATTGCATTGTGATGCTTATTCTAAGCATCACCTGCCTCAAGTTTGTGTAAAAATGCCACAATTTGTTCTCTAAATTGTCAATTAAAACAACCAGCCACAATGCCAAGCATTGGAGAGGATAGGGTGAGACATCCTGGTCTGGAGTGGGGAGGAGAGGAGGGAAGGAGGGGAGAGGGAGGAGGAGAATCTGGAGGACAGGTCTTGGAAGAAATGAACTGGACCTAAGATACCACTAAAAGCAAGTAAAATGGGTGAATGTGAATGGTAGGAAAGTATGCAGGCGTGGAGGTTTAGGATGGAGTCACTATAGCCCAGCATTGTGCTCTAGGTTAATTAAATAAATCCTAGTCTTTTTGTGGTGATTTGGTTATACAGCTGTTTAGGAAAACCACTCATTAACTATAAGAGAAATCAATAGTAAATAATACCCACAACACTAGAGAAAGAAAAAGAAGGTAAGTAGTTGAGTAGGTGGAGAAGTGGAGAGGTTCAGGGAGATGAAGGAAAGAAAACTATGATAAGGTTATAGGGTATGAAAAAATACTTTCAATATGAAAATCATCCTTCCTCCTTTCTTCCCTGCACTGAAGACAGCTTCCTGGTTCTGCTGGTCTTCATTACTTCATACAGCCTATACTTGGTGGACCTTTGACCAGTCACCAGGGTCCAGACCTCAGGGCTAAACGCTGGAGTGCACTTGTATTCCTAGCCTCCAGGCCCATGTTGAATGGGGTGTCTGTCATGGGTGAAGACCATGCTGACAGGAAGCTGCTGGTGATAGTGAAGAAGCAGGGCTGGCTGTGGGGAATGAGTTTGGCTCAAGGAGCAGACATTACAGGATTATGACAAATAGCCTGGCACCTGCTTTCCAAGGTGGAACATCTATTGTGTGGGTGGAGTTGGTGGCTCCAGGATCCAGCTCCTATTGCTCAAGAGTCCAAACAGGAGGCAAATCTAGGTATGGTAAAGCACTATCTTCCTAGCAAACAACTGTCATCTAAGCTGTGCCTGTTTGCAAGAGTATATCACCTCAGGCCATAGATGGCCAGTCTTTGTAGAAGGAAGGTCAAGGTAGGGTCATTGGGCCGTCACTTGTGTCTCTCCACTCAGCTCTTTCCATACAATTCTTTCCCAATCACATATTACCTCAACTTCAGGAAAGGCCATACAGGGCTAGACTATATAGGCTGAGGGAGTTTATTTGAGGGCTCTTGTACTAATATACACTTAGAAATTCAAACATTTCCACACATTAATATGCTCATACAAAGTCTTCTGTCTCTTTCTCTCTCTCACACACACACACATGCTCAGAGAAACAGTTCTGCACTCAAATTCATGTACACCAAATCATATTCATATAGGCACACACAAAGACACACATCAAGACACTTGAACATACTATTGCACTCAGCTACAGTCATGCTCATACACACACAGTCTCACACAAGCTCATAGTATCACACACTCTCGTAAAAACTCTGACCCTAAACTATTCCTAACCCTAACCCAATTAGTAGTGTTAACCATAGCCCTAATTCTTACCCAAACCCAAACAATAAACATAACCCTGTCCCTAAACAACCTGAGGCCTGCACATAGCACTAAGTCTAATCCTGACACTAGACTAGCCCTAGTGCTGTACCTAATGCTATTCTTGACTCAGATTCAAGCCCTAACCCCAAATCTCATCCCTAAACTCTCCATCTGCTGCAAGAAAATTTCCTTCGTGAGTAAGGACTACACTTAACTGTGGGTATAAGGACAAATGTTTGGTTTGTTTTAGGGATTGTGCTAGTATAACTAGCAAAGTGATGGTTGTAAAATCCATGACATCATTAGCTCTGGGTTCCCAGTACCAGGCATGGTTTCTGTCTTGCGTGAATCTTAAATCCAAATAGAGAACTGATGGTCATTGCCAAGGTATGCATACCACTACTGTACCCTTAGGGCTATTGTGCATCTTGATTGTTGTGGTTTGTTGGCTTTGTAGCTGGCTGGGATTATTGATTACTTCTCTCTTTTGGAAGCTTGCATGGTGCCTTCTAGTAACATAAAACCTAGTCCTCAGGAAAGAGGCTTCCAGTTCAGTTCCAGCTCAGGAACCTCTGGGACCTGTGTCTGAAGTGTATGGTGTCTCCAACAATAGGGGACTTACCTCCCACCTCTACAGGGAAACCTAGTTCAGTACTAATAGCCTGTAATGTTTTGGAAATTTCTTGGACAGCCCTGAGCAACAACTCATAAGAGGGCTTCTCATGTCTGCTTTTGGGGCTTTTGTTAGGTTGTCTTTGGCTCTTTGGAGGGAACACTATCAGTCCAGATGAGAAAAGTTCATTTAAACTATGATTGTATATTTTTATAGAGATTGTTAACAGTATTTTAGATTTTGAAAAGATAGATAATAGTATGATTTCTTGATACTTTTTCAGAAATCCTTATTGTTGCGTTATCCTCCTCTAGCCTTCTGTATTTTCCTCCCTGCACTCTTTCTAAAGTGTCCCCATTTTACATTTGCCACTGGTACCAGGCTATCACCCTCTCTGTAGCTCCACAGCCTCCTTATTCTGACAGTGGTCTTTTCCCCCCTGATTTCTGCAGTTCCTCAAGGCTATGTACTCACATGTAGGGATTTGGAGCTAAGAGCCTCCAATGAGAGAGATGCAGCATTTGTCTTCGGATCAATCCTTGTTGTTTCTCCAAACTTATCATTAACTTGATGAGTTAAAGTCTTGATGTCTCCCAGATTATCAGCATAATCTCTCTCTTGAGACATCTCATCTTGATGAATTTTGTCATTTACCTTCAGATGTTTCATTGGTTCACTGGTCTCTGGGATGCTGGCCATCAGGAGCCATCTGTGACTTTGTTCATTTTCTGAAAGACATAAGCATAGCCCTGGTGTTGACACCTGTTGTTTTCCATCAATTAGTTTCTTCATATTTTTATTTATCATGTACTTTAGATTTTATCTCCTTTAGGGAAAAAGTGCTTTGGGGCTTTTTTTTGGGATACTGTAAATGAAACAAAAATGTCAACGATATCAAACTATAATAGTTTCATAGAGGAAAACTTGCTGGAAGGCTCCAATTTTCATTATGTTATATAGACAAGACAGATTTCTAGACTGTACCAAATATAATTTTAGGTAAAAACTTTTAAATAATTTAAATTTTATTGAACACTTTTTAGCTTCCAAGGAAATTTGAGAAACATGCAAGTATGTTTGCATTTCTTAGCCATCTAATTACATAGGTGGATGGACGAGGTGGATGGATGGAGGGACTGAGTAGGGGAGACTGAGAGGCTGAGGAAGGAAGCAGGAAGGATCAAGTTGTGGGGAGGATGGAGGGAGAGTGTGGGGAGAGAACTTCAATTGGTGTGTGGTAGGGTAGACATCTCTGGGCTGAACTAGAAACCAAGACAATCGAAACTACCAGGAATCTAGGAGGGTTACCCTAGCTCAGACTCCTGGGAATGGGGGATTTAGAACCTGAAAAAGCCACTTCCTGTAGAGACTGGGACACCAACCCTGACACAAAACCTTAGACTCAGAATTTGTCCTGCCAACAATAGGTTCAGGGGTAAAGATGGAGTAGAAATTGAAGGAATGGCCCATGCTTGAGACCCATGCCATGAGAGAGAGAGAGTCCACCCCTTACACTACTAATGATATTCTGCTATACTTGCAGACAGGCACCTAGCATAACTGTCATCTGAGAGGCTTCACTCAGCTGCTAATGGAAACAGATGCAGAGAACCACAGAAATAGTAGGCAGAGCTTGGGGAATTCTGTGGAAGAGGAAGAGGAAGGATTGAAGGGGCCAGATATATCAGGAACCACAAGTAAACATACAGAATCAGCTAACCTGGGCCCATAGGGGTTCACAGAGATAGAACCATCAACCAGAGAGCATGCATGGGATGGACCTAGAGCCTCTGTACATATGTAACAATGGTGCAGCTGGGTCTTCATGTGGGACTCCTAATAGCAGGAGCAGGAGCTGTATATGACTCTGTTGCCTGAGTTGGCATCCCTTTTTCCTACCTGGGCTGCCTTGCCTAGCCACAATAGGAGAAGATGTGCTTAGTCCTACTACAACTTGTCAAGGAAGGTTGATATCCATGGATGCCTCCCTTTTTCTGAGCCTTTCTCAGGAGAGAGGACAGGGTGATGGTGGAGAAGTGAAGTGAGGGAAGGAATGGGAGGAGAGAAGGGAGGGGAAGCTATGATCAGATGTAAAGTAAACTAATAAAAATTTATGAAAATTAATAAAATTAAAAACTAACCTTTAAAATTATTTTTTAGAAATCTACCTCAAGTCTACTTACATTGTTATTTTAAATTATATAAAGATATAAATTTAAATAATGAA